ATTTATCACTTTCACGGGTTTATTACGAATCAACTTAACGGCCTGCTCCCAGTTGGCCTGTTAGCTCAATTGGTAGAGCGCTGCACTAGTATCGCAGAGGTCAGTGGTTCGAATCCCGTACAGGCCTGATTTTTTTCAGGTCTGATTTTCGCTATTGCTTAAATAGCGCTATCTACTGCGAGGATCGTGCATCATATGTATCTAATACCGCAGTACAAAATATATGAACTTCATATATTTCATTGTATCTCATTTATCACTTTCACGGGTTTATTACGAATCAACTTAACGGCCTGCTCCCAGTTGGCTTGTTAGCTCAATTGGTAGAGCGCTGCACTAGTATCACAGAGGTCAGTGGTTCGAATCCCGCACAGGCCTGATTTTTTTCAGGTCTGATTTTCGCTATTGCATGAATAGCGCTATCTACTGCGAGGATCGTGCATCATACGTATCTAATACCGCAGTTCAAAATATATGAACTTCATATATTCATTGTATCCAAAATTAATGTTGTTGTGTCAAATGGGGCACAAAAAAGATAGGCTAAAGTACTAAAGTACTACTTTTGTTCATGTTCAGTATTTACAGGTCTGTAAATGATGATTTCAATAAACATTCATTTTCTTATGGAACAGCCTGTATCAATAAGTTCAAATCCTTTTTGGGGGCCTCCTCCTTAAAATTACTGAAGGGTCCCCATTTGCTCCTCAGTGGCCAATTGATAGAATAAACCGTGACATGCCTGGTAAATGTGGCTAATATATAGGGATTCAACCAATCAACATTGTGTGGAACACATGTACTTCTAGTCTTTTGAAATTGAAGGGAATTATACAGTAATTTTTAAAATTTTCTTTTTTTTTGCCAATAGTCCATTTTACGGTAGTATGCTTGGTTGCCAAGCCTTTGAATGGGAGTGAGGCTAGGGGTGACCTTGTTATGATACAAACCTTGCTGCCTTTCAAATGTAAATCACTTTGTTATCATACTAACTAGATACAGGTCTCTATCACAACAAGGTTACCGTTAGCCTCATTCTGAACCAAAGGCTTGGCAACTATAAGTACACAACTGTAAAATGGCCTATTATGCCAAAAACTCAGATAGAACAATTAACTTAAGTTGATGTTTTCCTCTGCACAGGGTGGATTAAAATTTCAAATAAATTTGAAAGAGAACCTGCCTGAACATGTTAAATCAGGAATAGCATACTTTGATGGAATAGGTGATGTTGAATTGGATGTAACAAATCCATACAGTTTTAGTGGAATCACCCTTGGTACGTAAGTGCTATGAAACTGATTCTTGCATGAAATAGGTATAAATTTAAAACCATTACGTCTGGTAGATGTATGACAACCATATCATAGAAACTTAATAAGTTTGAATATAGTGTTAATAAACAATACTAAGAAGCATGTATTTATTTAACACCTTAGATTTTCATGAATGTTTGAACCTGATTTTAATGTCTCACTTATATAGTCAGGTTAATTAATTGTATTGGTTAGGATGTTTTGACTGGTTTTCTGCTTTTATCAGTAGTGATCTTAATTGCAGTCTGATTGCTTCTCCTTCTCTCATTGTGTGATTTATTCCCAAAATCACACCATTGTCTGCTCTAAATCAAATTGTAATCGTCGGTAATAAATACTGTCCTGAAGATTAAAACACTCGGCCTCGTGGAATTGTTTGTACCTTTAATCATTCCTTAGGTTCCTTGTTACATGGCCCTCCGTGTCCTCCGGTTTATATAGGAGGAGTAAAACCGTTGACAACAACATCCTTAAAACAAATTTAACGCCCTGAATTTCGTTTAGGTTGGCCGAGGTACAACTTTGTCTCAAACGGTGAAAAACATGTGTCACTCGTCCGAGCGAAGACTGGTAACAAAATTCAACTAAATGCTGCAGTACAAATCTAACGTGACAGCATTAACACACGTCTTTTTCCTAGCCAATGATAAAGCTTTACTAAAACATGAGAATCAATCAGATTTCTAGGCTTGTTTAAAGTAACCAATTGAATTGGAGAAAACTGAAAGACAACTTTTGCAACTATTTACAAACCACTGGATCATGCATGTTTACTGTAAGTACTCTCAACCAGTAAATTGGTGAATGTATCAGTTGAAAGTTAGTTGATGCTTGAATGATATGTCAGTTGGCATTCAGTAGACACTCATTTGACACCTGGTTTGTACCAGGTAGACACTCAATTGACACTTGGTTGACACTTGGTCCATAGTCGGTCGACACTCAGTTGATAGCAGGTTGATAGTTGGCCTATACTTGATCGATAGTCGTTGATGTATCAGTTGTGATGATTAACTATCAACCCAGTCTCAACTGAGTGTCGGCCAACTATCAACTACCCTAATTATCAACCGAGTGTCTACCAAATGTCGACTGGTTATCGACTGAGTGTCGAAAGCATATTGACTGAGTGTTGACCAAGTGTCAACTGACATATTGGTTGAGTATTGACCAACTCTCAATAGATATATAGACTGATATGTCAGTCAAGAGTACCTACAGTAAACATGATCCAACCAGCTCAGTACTGGATCATTAAGATATGTACAGATTGACTATAAATCCTGTATTTGAGCACAGGAATTTTGCAATTTCAAAATGGAAGTTGGTAATTAAAATTTGTGTCATACAATGTTGCCGGTCTGAAATCATACGTGTGATTTCAAATCAAACTAATACCCTTCATGCTCATTTGATTTTGAAATCACAAGTTTGATCTCAGACTTCTTTTGTCTCCACTTGGTTCAATTATCATTACTGATAAAGAACCAGTAAGTTAAGTTAAGTTAACCCTCTAAACCCTTTAAGAAAGACCAGCATCTATCTCTGCCTTACAGTGAAACTGCTGGTCATTCATTAAGATCATAAACGCAAAGGAAATGATCGCCAACCTAAGAAGCTTTGATTGTTAAACTGTCAAATCCTCTTTGTCAGTACACCAATTTAGGAAATGAGTAGAGAAGAAAATAAGCGTACTGATGTTAGGATGTAAAGTGTTAATGGAGTCATTATTTATGTGTCTGTCCTCATGTTCGGGAGTGAGACGGAAAATCCAAACAGACACTTTTATTCCAACACGGTAAACTGTAGATTCATGGTAAACGCCAATGACCATTAAACAAAACTGCTACTCGATAAACTAAAAACTTTTCAACTCCCCTAAAAAATCGCAAACGTCAAAATTAAAAGGTCTGCGTGATTTATTTACGATATTATTAGCCTACGTAGTCTCTACGCACGCGCACAAGTTCATTAACGTCTTCTTAACACCTCCTATAGATCATAATTAAGAACAAATCAAAATGTTCACATAATTCAACTTATTTTATAATATTAATGATATACAACCTTAAAATAGTCTCCAATCTTTTGATGATTACACTGAGGGCTGCACATGCACACTCACAGATGGGTTGTTCTTAAAACATAGATGACCTGCCTTCCAAAAAAAACATAATTAACCATTATGTAAGTTCTCATTCTTTCAAGGTTAATTTTCTATATGAATTATTTATTTGTATGAATATTTGTATTTTAGAAATAAATGGTTCCCAGCTAGTTCGTTATTGAGACAGAGAGTAAGATTTGCATGGAGATAATTGTTTGGCTGTGAAGTATGACTACCAAAAGATGTTTCAATGATTATTCTATCTTAGCTTCCCCCAAGTGTGGACCTGTTCCTGTTACAATCCAGACAAGAGATGGTCACCAGCTTGGGATGACACAATTTGTTTATGTGGATGAGGTGCAAGAAGTGCTTAATCAGCTAATTAAAGAACCTGCACTCCGATCTTTGTACCCTGATCATATGCAAGCCTTAGTGAAAGAGATGGTTCGAGATCTTGATCTTCAACTGTCCTTGATTACTGCCATGTCATGTCAGGAAGATGAAAGTGACAGCTATGTGGCACAGAATCCAGGTACATGTATGTTCATTATGTCATCCCCGGTAAGATAAAGAATACTGAACTAAAATCTTACCACAACTGATTAAACCAGTATCTATTGAGACCAATGATTAAAAATAAACGTACATGATGTAAGTATTTACTTCTATTTTAGGGGAAGTTGGAGGGCCCGATTTGTATTATTTTGAAGTGTTCTTATGTTTATGTATTTGTATGTTGCTACACCCTTGAAAAGTGAACAGTTGTTGAATGAAGTTGTTTTTTTTGTGAATAGTAATGATGACAATAAGCTGTAAAATATCATCAAGTTCCAGAAGTATGAAATTCCTCTAATAAATGTGTAGGACTTGTTCCTTCTAGTTTTTGAAGTTTAAACTGTGCTTTCCATCTGCTTGATGATCTTTTACACAAAGAATATTTCTTCTCATTTTTTCCAAGAAGCAAAATTGGCACAAGTTCAAGTTAAAGTTCTTCAGCTTCTTGTTTATGTGGCTGCTGAGGAGGATGCTGAACAGTTTATACAAATGATCTTCAGTACCTCTGCTGGAAAAATGGTGTTTGACAGTTACAAGGCTGAAACTACTCTGCCAGAGGATGTTGCAAGGGCCAATGGTCACAACGAGTTAGCGGAGTACTTACAGGATGTAAACAAACGGTAAATGGGCCTAGATACAAGTCGCTACCTAGGGGTTAAGTTACAAGGCCTTGGCCTGCAAATGGGGCTGTGAGTGACTAAGTGGAAGTCATCATGAAATTCAGATTAACTATTTTGGTAGTATTTCATCATAACTACGTGAGTTAATAAACAGTTCCAGAGTATGACAATAGAAAGTTTGTGTATGCAGGTAAGAATGACTGGGTATTCTAGAAATTTCTAGAAACTTATCTTTGCAGTCACTATCCTAAACAGTCACGTATTGTTTATTTTGAGTATCTTCATTAAGTTCAACATTCACCCTAAAGATTATGGGGCGCAACATACCTTAAACGTTAAGAGGGGACATCTTGTACCCAAATAAGAGAAGAGTGCCTTTGAAACAAATTATTTTGTGCCAAAAAAAAAACCAAGATTTCATTTTTTCGGTTCCTACTGTACCGCAGCAGAGGAAAGCTAAAGATGATAAAGATCTTACAATCATTTTAGGATTGCATGTGATTAAAAACAAAGCTTTACCTGCAGAAATCTTAATAGATGTGACAGCTTAATACAGGTTGACCATCTAATACAGGTTCGACAGAATAGGAATGTTATAAAAACCGATAAAAAAGACGTCATGTTTTGCCATAATTGACCACTTAATTTACCAAAACTCTTCCAAAATAGTACTTACACTAATTTTTGGAGATAAAATTGGATTAAATTTACTTGAAAGATTGTTCTCAGCACTTCAAGTGACTGTTTTATACAGGTGTAGAACAATACAAACAGCCAAGTGGAAACAATTGCGGAGCTTAATTGACAAAGTGACCGTTTAATACAATACCCCTAAATACAGGTTCAACTGTATATTCTTAAACCATCTTTCTCTTGTGGAACAAGGTACTCTATAAATTTATTTGTACTGAACTATAATGTGCAGATTGTCCATGTGGAATGGCAGTGATGTCCACTCTAAGTCAGTTGATTGGCAGGAATTAATTCAAGCAGTCAAAAAAATCCAGACTCAGTCTTGTAAGTATTATTATTTGTTTTTAGGTATGGTTATTACTCAAGTGCATGTTAATTTGATTTTATGAGTTGCTGGAAACTTTTCGTGATGAGTTTTAGTTTTTCACTGATCACATTGGCTTTCTCGGGTCAAAATCTGACGCTTATTGGTTGTATTGAGAGGATTAAGCCAATGTTTAGCAGTGGCAGTGGAAAATCTGGTTTTTCTGATTCAGGATGGCATTTGTACTCTGATGCAACTTATTCTGATACATGCTCGAACTGCATGTGCTCATATTCGCTTTATTACAGAACGCAAGGTCTCACTAAAATATCTTACATCTATTATTACAGCTATGTCTGAAGATGAACAAAATTTGAGGGTAATGCCATCCGACGAGGACAGCAACTTGAGTGATTACTTTGCTGACACTGAGACTTCGTCTTGTGGATCTCTTGAAGTTGACACTGAATGGCTTGATTGGGAAGGTGGGAAACTTTCCATGCATAAAGTGCCGACATAATTAAAAAATCACACTTCAAGTCGTGCAGAAACCTTCTGCTCATTTACAAATTTCAAATATGAACTGCGCCTACAACTAGTAACAGATGTTTTCTTCCTATTGCTCTTAACCCTTTACTGTTTCATTCCCTTATTTTTTTAACCGTAAAACTTCACCCAACCTCAGTTTTCCATAGCTGCTACAGAAAAATCAGCTATTTTGTAGATATTCGAATTTGTAATCAGAAGTTTTTATTTCTAACCAGGGATGTTTAAGTTATTATCTAAGCGCCTATCAACTTCATTTGACATTGTGTTATAGTTATACTTAATTTACCTGAACTTGAAGAACACCTGGCAATTGTTCAGGCCTCAAGCTTTTGGTCTCGTACACTAAAACCTGTATTTGTTATACCAAAATTCTTAAAAGAATGCTGACTAAAAACTGCATTGACAATAGGCTTCTCTAGCCTGTTTGTACTTGATTCTTCCAGGAATGCATTGCAATCTTTCGTCAGGTTTCTTCTCGACTAGAAAATGTGACGATCGTTGTACCTTAAGGGTTCATTCTTGACTCGGTATTATTTACCATGTACAACAACAAAAAGCCCTTTGGAATAGTACCGTTACCCTTTTCGCTTGTTTAATCAAGACCTAGACAGCGTAGCACAATGGCTGTACGGGCATAAATGACTGTTAATATTTCGAAATCCAAATTTATGCTCATTGGTGTCTCAAAGAAACTTACCTCTTTCAACGAAGAAGCCTTAACAGCTATGGATAGAAATCTGGGCGTGATCGTAGATGAGGATCTGCCTCGTTCAGATCATGTCAGAAAAGCTGCTAAAATCGTTCTCGATGGGCTGGCTACCGCGATTCTAGAACAGCTTGCCTTAGTGAAAATGACAAGAGGAAGGAAATTTCATCGCTCGATTTGATTTTTAAAGCTATTAAATGGCTTAACTGACTGGGATTTGAATTTCTTATACACTCGTGGTAATTACAACATCAGACGTGAAAACAACTCTTGTAAGCCTCGATCACGTCGCTCCTGGAGCCAGAACCGTTTTATTTACCACGCCATTGATAATGATTGGAACACTTAACCAGATATAGTTGAGAACAGTATCAACATTCGTACTTGTGAAAGACACCTTAAGAGTATTTTTCGATTTTATCGTCATTTATTTTTAATCACTGTAACTTTTAAATGTGAAATAGCTAATGCTTTTAAACTTTAAGCTTCTAGCACTATGTATTTCATACACCTGTTATTTTGTTCAGCATTATTTATTTATTTATTTATTTATTTATTTATGTATTTTGGACAAAAGGACTAATGAACAAGGCTTAAAATATATCGACGAGCACGTGAATACGTAACGGCACAAAAGAATAATACGCAACGTTGTAGACTTGCTTTTTCTTTCGGTTTTTCTTTTTTTCCGAATCCGCTTTCGTTAAGGTTAAATCGGTTTTCGTTTTCATTAGGCTCAGTTCGTTCTTTTTTTTTATTATTTCTCGTCAAGTTACAGTTAAAGGTTAGTCTTGTGAACAGTGTGTTTAAGTTGTGATTACTATTATTATTATAATAATTATTATTATTGTTGGTGTCATTGTCGTATTTGGTAGAGAGGCCCCCGTTGTGAACCATTAGTATGTGATGTGGGCACCTGGTTGAAATATCTGTACTATGAAACATAATTTGTTAGCAAAAGATCTCATGCATTGTTGTATACTATCTTGTCTACGTAGAGACTTTTACAAAAGATAAAGAACCAACAGGGAAGGAGGCCCCGTGGTCAATTCCTCAAAGTGAATTACTTTCTGAGGAAGCAACCCAATTTGACCAAGCTGAAGACGAGGAAAGGACAATGTTTTCAAACTTAAACTCTCACACGCTTCAACGTGAGTATACGCAATTTTCTTGATCGTTTGAGGGGAGCTTAACCTAAACGATGTAATGCTTCCTAGGTGTGTATATAACGCTATTGAAATGGAGGTAAGACCTATCTGAAAAGTTTCACGAAAAAAGTTTGCTCGTGATATTAATGTCTAACGGTCTAGAAAAATTGTAACGCTGGCAAAACGGAAAGAACAGCCGCCCGCAAGATTTGAACATTTAGCGCTGAAATTTTTATGCCTCACCATGACCTTTAGTTACAAAAGCTAACCTTTTGTGGTCTGTTCAAGTAGCCACAATGTAGGTTTCTTCGATTCGCTTCCGCACGGCAAAGTTTTTGTAATATATGCATGACGCTTCAGGATAAACCTGAAGTTTTTTAAATTTAATCGAATACGGCGTTCTAAGTAGGTTTAACTCGTAATTCGTGACACTCAGAGCGAGAAATTGAACTCAGGATATGTGAAGGAAAGCTGTCCTTGATCACTTGCTTTTCTCCATTCCAATTCAATAAAGCACTTTAACAAGCTGTACACAACTTATCGCGGATAAACAAAAAAAAAAAAGTGAGAGGTGAATCAAATTACAAACAGGTGAATCAAATTACTACAACAGCATTATGGAAAAGCAGAACATTTTTAGGCTATTAGAGTCTTGTTGCAGCCAACTCGCAGTCAANTTGGCAAGTAAGATTGGGCTCTTGATCTTCAGCCTGTGAATTGTGATTAATTTATTGTATAGTATAAATGAAGCTTAAACATGTAATGCTTTTAATGCATGTTCAGGATGTCTGTCTATTAAGTCATATTTTGGCATGCGTATATGCGATTTTTTTTTAGGAGTGCATCGCCATCTATTGTTAAACACAAGATCTTAACTTTGTTTTAGAAACACCATTTTCTCATCCTCTTTCTCTCTTCCTCTCTCTCTCTCTCTAAAAGTTGAACCTACTTACTCACATGTAAATCCGCTTGGAGTTTGCTGCTTTTACCGTATTTTTTCTTGTAAGTATAACTAATTTTTGGTATCGTACTTCTATCTATTTTGGTATCGTACTTGTACATATACATATCATACAAGGATATGATAGTTTGTAGAATTCATTGGCGGTTAAAAGAATTTTCAAACAAAATATCTTAAACTTGTTGCATACCGTGTTTATTATTTCCCCACTGGCACTGGCGCTGGCGCGTATACGGTCATCGAACGTGTTTATACCAGTTATGCGTGAGCAAAGATGTATGATGGATAATAAACCATGTTTTACCATTCGAAAGCGTTGCACAAGTAACATGTACGGGCTTTATTGTATCAAAGGAACGTTCCATTGTTTTTATAGGAAATGACTCTCTGTCTAAAGTGTTGGTCATATTTACTTATAATTTCTTGAAAACAACAAATATTACCAGCAGAACATATTTTCCAACCAACTGCGGAGTATGTATTTGCACACAGGTTTATTTGCTTTACTTTTCACAATAACGATGAATCACGATCTCAAGCCACCAAACAGACGTAAGTCGCTCCAATAGAATTGTTTCTGTGCTTGCCTGTATGTCAACCTATTCTTGCGGTAATCACCATGTCCGTATCTTTTTGCGAGTGCTCGTGTTTTACTCGTCAATTGCTGTAATAATTCTCATTTAAATATATATCTGTTAATTATTTTTTTTGTCTGACTACTTACTGCAGCATTTCACTTATTACAGAAAAATTGAGAATAGCCCGAGTTGTCTATGATAGACGTCGCCATAGCCGATGTATATGCTTTATGTTTACCGTCAGTTTGCTAAGAGTAATAGGAGGATTCCAGTTTGGAGGTAGATGTTTTACGACAAACTGTATCTATTATCCTTATAATTGTTACTGATCGCTTGGCCAAAGTGAAACAGTTAAAAAAAGGAGTCGATAAACACACAAGAGTTTAACTTTATTTCCAAGAGAACTCACAATGGTTCTTCTTCAGCCCTGCTGTAATGTAGAAATTCAACTTCATATTGTATGTCGTTTGACGAAAAAAATGGTTACTTTATAAGATTCTTAAGCAACAATACATAGGGGCTGAAAAAGCCTAAACGGCTTAGGTAATTTTTTTTTTTCAGTTTCTTGTAATGGACTTTAATTTAAGTTCTTATGATTTAAAACTCCGACAAAACCAAAACAAAGCATTGACCTTATAGATTTAAATTGCGCCTTTTACTATACTTGCTGGGATTCCATCTTTTTTCAGGATCTATTCATGAATACACGACACCGTCACACGTTTCCATTGACGATGTGTGCTATTACAAGGTTTCGGCAATAGCTAATATCTCTAGGGATTGTGGATCCGTGGGAAGTTTTGGCAGACTCAATCAACTACGAATACTGGCGCTGAACCCTGACCTAGGAGGTAAACCAATCGATTTGGACGATGGAATGTGTTATCCAGCCGACTTGATCAACACCGACTTCTTTGAAGTAAATGACGCCAAGATCACATGTCTCCTTGGTTGCGTTCTTTTCTTCATTGGGGTTGTCGTGGGATTATTTTGGAGACGTCTGTACTGTTACACTGTTGAAGTACAGCAAACAAAGTCAGAACTTTTACCTGGTGAGTCTAATGAGGGGCAGTGATTTCAGTAAGACCACTTCTTTGTCCATACGATACATAGTTGGGTTTTTTAATCTCATATATCTTCTTTATTTATGTTTTTAGGCCAGGGGGGTTGGCAGAATAGGGGAAGGAGAAGGCGCTTCTACACTAGCCTCATTAAAATCCAGGAGTATCATGCTTTCTTTTGAATTCGTTGTGGGAATTGAACTAGCCTCTTCCTTGTGATTTCTAAAAAATTCTAGGGGACAATTTGTACATTTATGTGATCTTTTTTAGAAAATGTTGTGGGTTTTGGAGGATCTATTATGCGTCGATCAATTGGAAGCTTCAACATCTCTCCCCCCTCCCCCGGGAAACCCCTGGGTATTTGAAATTTGAAGATTGGATTGTTCAAATTTCCGCCTCCGGGGCTAGAATTGTATTTAGTGTGCCACCCAATTTGTTATAAAAGGTTAGTGTTGTGAACAGTATTTTTCAGTTGTGATTACTATTATTTACGTATGATGCACGATCCTCGCAGTAGATAGAGCTATTTAAGCAATAGCGAAAATCAGACCTGAAAAAAATCAGGCCTGTACGGGACTCGAACCACTGACCTTTGCGATACTAGTGCAGCGCTCTACCATTTGAGCTAACAAGCCAACTGGGAGCAGGCCGTTAAGTTGATTCGTAATAAACCCGTAAAATTATTATAAGAATTATTATTATAGTAATTATTATTATTGTTGGTGTCACTGTCGTATTTGGTATAGAGGGCCCCGTTGTGAACCATTAGTATGTGATGTGGGCACCTGGTTGAAATATCTATATTATCAAACATAATTTGTTAACAAAAGATCTCATGCATTGTTGTATACTATCTTGTCTACGTAGAGACTTTTACAAAAGATAAAGAACCGACAGGAAAGGAGGACCCGTGGTCAATTATTCGACGTGAACTTTTGTCTGAGGAAGCAACCCAATTTGACCTAACTGAAGACGAGGAAAGGACAAAGTTTTCAAACTTAAACCCTCACACGCCTCGACGTGAGTATACGCAATTTTCTTGATCGTTTGAGGGGAGCTTAACCTAAACCATGTAATGCTTCCTAGGTGTGTATATAACGGTATTGAAATGGAGGTAAGTTCTATCTGAAAAGTTTCACGGAAAAAGTTTGCTCGTGATATTAACGCCTAACGGTCTAGAAAAATTGTAACGCCGGCAAAACGGAAAGAACAGCCGCCCGCAAGATTTGAACATTTAGCGCTGAAATTTTTATGCCCCACCAAGACCTTTAGTTACAAAAGCTAACCTTTTGTGGTCTGTTCAAGTAGCCACAATGTAGGTTTCTTCGATTCGCTTCCGCACGGCAAAAATTTTGCAATGTATGCATGACGCTTCAGGATAAACCTGAAGTTTTTTAAATTTAATCGAATACGGCGTTCTAAGTAGGTTTAACTCGTAATTCGTGACACTCAGAGCGAGAAATTGAACTCAGGATATGTGAAGGAAAGCTGTCCTTGATCACTTGCTTTTCTCCATTCCAATTCAATAAAGCACTTTAACAAGCTGTACACAACTTATCGCGGATAAACAAAAAAAAAAAAAGTGAGAGGTGAATCAAATTACAAACAGGTGAATCAAATTACTACAACAGCATTATGGAAAAGCAGAACATTTTTAGGCTATTAGAGTCTTGTTGCAGCCAACTCGCAGTCAACGCCCATTCATAGTGGCATAATTGTTAATGGAACGCTCCAATGTATTTTGCGAAATGCCTTTTTTTTCAAAATTTGGTGATTTCATTTTAAAGACCTCCTGGAAAATCGAAAAAAAAAAAAGAATAACGAGAGGAGGTTTCTAGGGTGTATGTAGATACTGTTGCGTCCCCGATGCCTGAAAGCGGAACTGCAACTCTTGCGGCTGCGAATTCGCGGGAAGGAGTCAAGGAGGTCCGGACCACCTCATCAGACCTGTGGGTGATCGCATATTGTAACTTAAGTTGAAGTATTTTACATTTACTCATTATGAAATTATAAAAAAGTTCTGTGTATTCTGGATCAAAGCTTGGGTCAGAGGCGCCTGATATGCTGACGTCTGTTCTCAACCTTACACTGCACCCGTAACTCAGCCTCTGGGCTGTAAGTGGTCAGATATAAACTATCTTACTATATTACTATTACTATATTACTAAGTGGCATCTTTCCTATGAATGTTTTACGTGCAGATCATTAATTGACTGATAATTGTTTCGATTTTTAATCAACCGATGATATTAATTGTAAATTTGCGATAACTCGGGTGCTCAAAAGACCTGGGAAACGAAAAAGCTTGCTTTTCTGAAAATGAACGTTTTAAATGTTTCATTTATTTTATGCAGCTTATCACGTAGTGGGTAAGGTTTTTTTGTATTGTAATTTTTTGGTGGTTATATATGCACCCAACAACTCTGTCCTTATTAATCAGCTTAACGTAGATACAAACAGACGATTTAGTAACGAATCTTTCTAAAGTAATGGTACCAGAGTGAAGAAATGTATTACGAGATGTAGATAGCTATATTTAGTCCTCTCTGGAAAAGGATGACAAAATTTCCAATAATGTTATAATTGTAAACTTTCGAAGATGAACAGACGTTAGAAAAGTTAGTACTGTATACAAGACTGATGAATCTGCGTAACTGGTAACTCTGCATTAGCCAATGTATTTACTTGTGTATTTTTTAGCTCTTTGTACCCATGCAATGAAAACAAGTACTGCTCATCAGTAGAGTCTAAATTAGTTAAGCCATGGTTTTGTATGAGCTAATAGGCTATGGTCCGATTATTAAAACAAAGTTTATACACATTGTTCAATAAATCTACGTCCTATACAATCGTCAATTTAGCCAAATCTTGTATCTAAACATTAATTTTTTGGAACTGTGTCTAGAAGGCTGAAAGCTAAGAGTGGAAGGACATTTATTTAATTCTATCAACCCTCTTAAAGAGAAAGCCTGAGGCCCTCTGATTGTGTAAAACCATGGTTTGCGCTAGACCTCGTGTAATAAGCCCGCTTTTGGCTCTTTTTTTATTCTCCTCAGTCTGCTTTACCGCTGCCAATTAATCGATTGAATAAATACGAGATAATTCTCTCAAGTTCGGGAGATTGTTTGACTGAGCTCGTCTGTAGAAATAGTGTTCTTTCATTTGTGTTTTGTTTTGTTTTCAAAACACATCTTACAAATCTGTGTGGAGCATCATCCCGAGTTACCAATTTTCGATTAGAGTACTGTGTCTTATTCTTGAAAGTGCGCGCAGAGAAAATTGTGAATCAGTTTCTTTGATTTATTACGCCTTTGCATAAAAATGTAGCTAGTCAACAAACTGAAAGGGACCATTTCTCTATTTGATCTTAATCTGATGCCTTAATCGCGATTACGTCCTATAAGATTGACACAACTTTTCTCGGTTTATTCCACCAAGTAATAATCTTTTTAAGGTTCATGCTCTGTAACAACCATTTGAAGACTTACTGGGAAGTGTTTTCGCTATCTTCGCGGGGAACTCGAAAAGTCCATGAAATAATTTGAAACGCCCTCAAAAATGTGTATATTTAGATAACAAAATAGTTCCTGTGTGAGAAACCTAGCTAAGGGAGACCGCACACCATTTTTCTGGGTTCACTTTTGTGTAAATAGCCCCCTGATGTATTTCTATGGGGGAAAATGCCTTCGGTAACGACATCGAGAAACTGAGGTGGTAGCACGTTTTTTCAAAAAGAGATGCCTGTACAACGAGATACCCTAAATATGCATACCGATTCGTACTCGGGCGGGATAAACGGTTGTTCTTGGGATCTAGGTGCAGCTGCCCTGGCGGGAGAAGTTAATTTTGGATACTGCGTCGTTACTAATCCTCAAATCAAGCGCACTGAAAATTCCCTTCATTATTTTTTTCTACAGCGCAATGGTGGCTTGGTGCGGAGCTCTAAATCTAAGCCCTCTCTCCGTGCGGCGTGAATTGTAAAGAGGGCTCTTAAACAGGAAGACTTGTGATCTCAATAGCTTCACATAGAGTCAGTTTCAGCGCTTTTATTGGAATAGTAATGCAAATGATAGGTTTTCGATCAATCAGGGCGTGCGAAGATTCTTTGTTCACTTGTTATACCATAATATCAAATGAATCAAACGTTTAACGGACTACTGACACCTAGTCGAATGGTAGGAGAGAAGTAACCCTACAGAAAAAACATTAAAAAAACTTCGTGTGCCCGCTTTCACTACAGTTCATCTACAGAAGACTGCATTTCCCCATCCCTACTCCTCCGTTTCTTTTTGTTGATTGATCAATTTGAGAATCTTTGATTGTTCCTGCAACAGCTTGTAGATTCCACTGATCCTTCCGTGTGAGACAAAAACGGATTAGTGATTTAACCCATCATAATTTC